TTAGTCATATCTTTTTGTTGCTAGTTGATGTTCATGTACTGTTGTGGCAGACAGGAAGAAAATTAGCCACGAGAGCACGAACATCAACTAGCAACAAAAAGACCCTTCCTCAGAACCGGACCCGAAACGTTAACTCTGTTTTTTTTCTTCACAGATGCTGCCAGACCTGCTGAGCTTTTCCAGCAACTTTGTTTTTGCTCCTGATTTACAGTATCCGCAGTTCTTTCGGTTTTTGAGGTAAAATCGTGATGTACATTGTTTCCTGTCAACAGGAGCCTGAGGGCTGCAAATGCATTGTCCCAAATGCTCCACTGAATTGCATATACTACGGTCAGTGTATAAGTTATTCATGGTTATGAGTTGTGACTGTAATTCACTAATGTCCTTTAGGGAAGGAAACTGCTGTCCTTTACCTGCTCTGGTCTACACGTGACTCCAGACCCACAGCAATGTGGTTCTCTTAACTGCCCTCTGGGCAATTAAGGATGGGCAATGAATGCTACCTAGCCAGTGACACCCTCATCCCGTGAATGAATAGAGAAAATAAAATTCACTTATGGACTAAATCTCGTTAATTACAGGTCCGAAATGGAGTATCGGGAAGGCTCTTTCTCCTTGGTCTGTGAATTCTGCAGCAGTCGTTTTTGTTTGTTTAAAGGACAGCAGTTGGAGAGGGGAATCCCTTTCTGTGAAACAGGGCAGCTAATCCAAACTAATTCTGCTGTGAAACGCTGTAGCTACGTTCTCAGAGCTACTGTCTCAGAGCGCTAATCAGCTGTGTTACATCCTTTTTGTTTAGTTATTAGTCTCTTGAATTGTTAATTACAGAGATTAAACTGCCTTTAAAGAAAGTAAATCAAGTGCTTGCTGGTGGCATGTAACATATCAGTGCTGTGATGGGAACCTTGCAAGGGATTTGATGCACCGGCCACAGGCTATAGCAATAGCTGCTGCCGAGGAAGCTTCAAACAGGAAATAGAAGATTTTTTTATGAATGATCTTCATTAGCATCAAGAAAAAGCAATGGTTTATGCTGTTTTGGTCCAAAAAAGTGGTTCTCTCAGAGACTTTATTGATGTAAGCATTTCTCTTGCAAGATGTGATAGCACTGACTGGGTTTTTATCTATTGTCCATTTCTAACTGCCCTGGAGAGGGTGGTGGTGAGTTATCTTCTTGAACTGCTGCATTCTTTATGGGTGTAGGAACATGTGCAGGACTGTTGGGAAGAGAGTTCCAGGATTTGGCCCAGCAAAAGTGAAGGAATGGTAGCATAGTTCCAAGTCAGGATGGTTAGTGGCCTGGAGGGCAACATTGCAGGTGATGATATTCCCATGAATCTGCTGGTTTGCAAGATGCTGAGAAAGGAGCCATAATGTATTCTTGCAATGCATCTTTTAGATGGTTAAAACACTACTGCCACTCTGTCAGATGGTGAAGGGAGTGAAAGTTGAAGGTGGTGGATGGGTGCTAGTCGAACGGGCTGCTTCATTCTGGATGGTTGCAAGCTGCCTAAGTGCCAATGGTGATGCACTCATCCAGGCAAGTGGAGAGGGTCCGTTACTCTTGTCACTTGTGCCTGGTAGATTTTTTTTATAGTACCAATTGTAATTTAGCACACAAGATAGGTTTATCTAAAAAAGTCACAAAAAATGGATACAGAAAGCATTGCAATTGCTAGAAACCTGAATAGAAAATATAATAGTGTGTACACGCTATTAAAAACATTCATTCCAGTTAAGACCTGAAAAGGGAATGCTGTAGCCAAGACAATAATTGGGAAGAGACCCTTAACTGGTGGTTATGGATTTCTAAGTTTTTTTTTTAAATTTTAAATGTGAAAAAGCTATAAATAATGTGAATACATGATTTCCGTCTTTCAGGCAATCACAGCCATGACCTGCTTCGGATTCTTTTGGCTTTTCCATTTTGTGCCCTTCATTTCTGCCTCAATGAGCTATCAACATGAAAAGTTTCTGCTTGCAGAAGGGAGAATAAGTTAAGCATCGAAACATTGAAGAGTAACCAAGTCATTTTTTCCCAAGTCAGTCATTTTTTTCAAAGTGCAATTGGATCACGTATCCACTAAATGTTAGCAAGCAAGTCCATCTCGGTTGTAAAACAAAGAACTGCAGTCGCTAGACATCTGAAACGAACAAAAACAGAAATTGCTGAAGAAACTGGACCTGAAACCTTAACTATTTTTTTCTCTCCACAGATGCTGCCAGACCTGCTGACTTTCTCCAGAAATTTCTGTTTTTGTTTGTTTCAAGTCTAGTCACTTATTTGAGTGTATTTGACAATGCCCAACCTGTGGATATGCCAATTCTTCACTATCATACTGTTGGAAGTATGAAATGTAATCAAAACTGTATTATAAAAAAATTGTTTTCCTGACTTTAAAACATGACTTCTATTACAAATTGGTTATTTAAAACTGATAATATTGAATATGTGGTTTGAATGACATTGTTGTTTGCAACTTCTCAATTCTAATGATTTCCTCATTGAAATACCCCTGACAAAAAATCTGCTCGCACGTTTTCTGATACTAGTGGTGGGATAATCGATGATCAATTTAATAGTAGCCTAGACATGGCAATGAGCTTTACATATTTCATGATGAAGATTTCAGTGACAATTAAACTACGACTGCACAGACTGTATTTTTTTTAAAGCACAGGGATCCTTCAGAATTAATTGGAAATTGTACTATTATGATAAAATGCTTAACATTTGAATGTGTTTAATCTCCCCTTCTGTTCTGCACACTATTAAAAACATTCATTTCAGTTAAAAATGTAAGAAATAGACATGGGAATAGACCTTTCTGCCCTTTGAATCTGCTTCACCAGTCCATAGTATCAGGCTGGTTCTAACTTGACTCCCACATATATTCTCATTTAACTGAATACTTCAACCTACCCTTACTTAATACTTACCCTTATACTTCAAAATCTGGTGATCTCAGTGATAACTCTATTCAATGACTGAGTATCTACTACTTTCTGGAGGAAAGCGTCTTGAAGATTCACAACCCTTTGAGTGAGGAAATTTCTCATCATCTCAGTTCTGGATGGCAAATCCTTTATTCTGAAAATGTGACCCCCGAACCCCTAATTCTTGACGTTTCAGACAGGGAAACATCATCTGAGCATCTGCCTTGTCAAACTTCTTAAGAATTGTACATTTCAATAAAATTACCCCTCATTCTTCTAAATTATAGGAAAAGTAGCCCTAGACGACTCAATCTGTCCTCAAAGAAGAATTCTCTCATTGCAGGAATCAATTCAATGAAACCTCCATTGCATCAAGATAAGCATAACCGTGGGTAATAAGGCCAAAACTGTATACAGTACTCCATGCACGGTTATGCCAAGACCTGATACAATAGCATTAAGACTTTTTCTTACTCTTATGACAATCTCGTAGTTTCTTTTGAAAAAAGCTTTCTAATTCATTACTGTATCTGCATGTTAACTTCTCTAACCAATGAACAGGGTCACCAAGGTCCCTCTGATACCACATTTTGAAGTCTCTCACCTTTCAGAACTTATTCAATTTTTGTGTATTTCCTACCAAAGTGGATAATTTCACGTGTTCTCACTTGTGAGAAACAGATTTAAAATCATAATCAATGAGCACTTTAAAAGGTACGAAGTCATTTTCAGAGAGGAACTAATTAATTGGACCATTATATGTGAATAATGAACAGGTATTGATGTTAAAGTTTGGTACATAGATTTTCTCTTCGTAAAATATTACTAACTTTTCCATCTGCTTGAACTTGTGATCTGAGTCATGCAGGAATTTTATTTCAAGGAATTGGGAGAAATGCAGCCCACATGATCTATCACAAGATCATTTCACTCTCAGAATTCATAATCATGGATTAAAACTAAGCAAAACCCAGGATATAAAGCTCTTTTGACGTGTTATAATTGATACACATCTTACTGATGTACTGAAAATTCTGTGACCTGTGAAACCTGTCTACTGTAACTGCTAACCATTGTGCATTAGAGTGATACAAGAGAGACATGGCTTCACTGGAAGTACAGTCTCCTTGGTCAGAAGGCTGTGGGTTCACATTCCATTTTAGGACTTAAGGCAATTGTCAAAGCTGACACTCCACTCCATGAAGTGCTACTCCTGCCTTTTATTAAACAGGCCAGTCTACCCTCTCCAGTGTCCATAAACCGTCTCCTGAAACCATTGTAAAGAACAGCAGGGGAGTTGTTCCTTTGGCCATTATCATGTTGACTTTTATGGAAATTCACTGTGTGCAAATTATAAAGCACTTTTGGATGTCCTCTGGTAATGAAAAATCCTGTATAAATGTAAACCTTTCACATAGTAAGAAGTCCATGGTTGTGATCTCTGCACACATCCCAAACTTCAGGCCATGATCAGAGATGCAGGATGTTGGAGCTGATGTGGGTTAACATGTACATCGAGTTGATTTCATCTTTCTTAAAACCAGGGTGAAGAATCATTGAAATCAATGAAAAAAAAAGTCTGGTAGTGTGTAAAGTTGAACATTCTTTTGCTTTTGCACATTTTCAACTGTTGCCCAAAACTAAATTAAGTTCTTCCCCTGCCCAATCGATAACTCCACAAATTTTAGTCCTGTCACGGCATTTTGACAGTTTGCAAATGTTGCTTAATTGACTGCATGTCTCTACTGAATTGTTCAGATCAGTGCAACTTTACCTTGACTTTCAGAGAGAATGGCTGTTCATTGTGAATATACTCCAATCTCTGTCTACAGGTTGTAACAGGGAATTACAATACAGTCTACATCCAACTGGTACTGACTTCAAGGAAAAGTTCATTATTTTTCCTCCATCACAGCAAGAGTAAAGCACAGGGATAAAAGAAAGCAGGCTGCTGGAGAGTGAGATCTTACAGTGGTCACTCTCCAGTTTTATACTTACTGGTATCAAGCCTGTTGCAGAGCCATGTTAGCACTAACCAGAATGGTATTGGTACTGTTTTTCAGGGCAGTGAACATTGTTACTACCATGGAAAAATCAGAGGAAACTCCAACTCTTTTGTGGCTATGTCAACATGTCGTGGACTGAAGTAAGTAAAGCCACCTAGGAAGCACCTCTGTTCCACAAAGACTTTGGCTGTTTATGTATATGGGGTGGAGGCACACATGCAAGGAGCAAGCACAGATGTGATAGGAGTACTGAGATCCTGTTGAGTTTGATAGCTGCAACTCATTAGCACTCGTACTGCTCAACATCCAGCCAAGTTGCAAAGGTGACTGACTGACAGAAAATGCGGTAGCAGAATCATAGAATCCCTACAATGTGGAAACAGGCCATTCATCCCATCGAATCCACACCGAACTTCCAAAGAGCATCCTATCCAGACCCGACCCCTACCCAATCCCTTTAACCCTGCATTTACCATGGTGAATCTACACAGCATGCAAAAGGGACCTGGGGGGATCTTCTTCATGCAGAGGGTGGTAGGTGTGTGGAACGAGTTGCCAAAGGAAGTGGTGGAGGTGGGTACAATTACAACATTTAAAAGGCATATGGATGGGTATGGGAATAGGAAGGGTTTCGAGAGTTGATATATTTTTAGAGTTTAGTAACATCAAAGGATTGGTAGAGAAAGCAGGAATTTGGCATTGAGATCGAGGATAGTCCATGAATATATTGAATGGCAGAATGGTCTTGAAGGGCCAAATGGCCTACTCCTGTTCCAAGTTTCGATGTTTCACTGAGAATCTGATGTAAAATGGTGATGAATTACCCGTCACTTGAGACTGATGCTGGGATGCTCCATAGACAGATGCTGGGATGCTCCATAGACATACTCTGTATATACACACACACACACACACACACACACACCAAGGAAAAACTCATTGCTGGAGAAGCTCAGTGGGTCTGGCAGCATCTATGAAGAGACTTCTGAGTTAATGTTTCGTGTTGACTGACCCTTTCTCAGAACACATGACCCAAAACATTAACTCTGATTTCTCTCCATGGATGCTGCCAGACCTGCTGAGCTTTTCCAGCAATGTCTGTTTTTGTTTCTGATTTCTAGCATCCGCAGTTCTTCCGATTTGTTTTAAAAAAAAGTCGGTTATTTTGAAAGGTGCCACCATTGCATATTAAAGACTATATATATATATTTATATAGTTATCTACAAAGTTTTCTGCTAAACTTTCCAAAGTCTGTTGATGTTTTGTAGAAACACCCAGGCTTTTAATATTAACTCTAGGCCTCACTGACTGTTTTGTGATGTATTCAGGAGTTAATCAGATCATATGGGCATTCTGCTGCTTTAAGTTTCTGCGAATTAGTAGATGAGCACCTCATTTAAAATTTAGCTCTTGGTATTAGTTGAATATCTGAATGCATGGAGCATCCACAATAAGGTCAATGAATTAACAGTGCAGATTAACAGTGCAGATGGTTGTAACTGAGTTTAATATGATTGTGATTAAAGAGACAAAGCTGTATGGTGACCAAAATTGGGAACTAAGCATCCAAGATGATTCCATCTTTAGGAAGGACAGGCTACACAATAAAGAAGGTGGAATTGTGTGGATCATGAGAGATGAAGTCAGTGCAAAAGTGAGAAAGGATATTGACACAGAAATTTTAAATGTAGAATCTGTCTGGGTAGAGCTAAGAAGCAACAAGGAGTGAAAATATTAGTGGGAAGTGTCTGTGGACTTCCAAACAATAGCGGTGAGGTAATGGTGATGACATTTAAGCAGGAAATTAGACAAGGGGGATACCGTAATCTTGCATGATTTTAATCTGCATATAAATAAGGTTAAGCCACATTATCAATAATACTGTGGTGATGAATTCCTGGAGTTGTACAGGATATTTTATTTTGACCAGTACATTAGGAATTGACTAGGGAACAGGCAATCCTACATTTGGTTTTGCGCAATGAGCAGGGACTTCATGAATAATGTTGTTATGAGAGATCTTTATGAAAAAGTGACCATAAAATGAAAGAATCCTTCGTTGAGATACAAAATGGAGATGCTGAATCTGAAATTAAGGTCCAAAATCAAAACAAAAGAAACCATTAAGGCATGAATAAATTGGGTGACTTTACTTAAAGACATGACAGTGGATAGGCTAATATTTAAAGAACAAATGCATGTGTTGCAAAACTTATACAACAGGAAAGCGGTCTAACCACAGCTAACAAAAGAAACCATGGATAGCATTAAATTTAAAGAGGGCTCCTATAAAGTTGCCAGAAAAAGGTAACAAGCCAGCATACTGGGAGCAATTTAGAATTTAGTTGTTTAAAGTAGACGACTATGGAAAGAACGGAAGCATTGTTCATCATCTTCCAAAATTCTGTAGATTCTGGAACAATCTCAGCAGTTTGGAGGGAGCAGATGTAATGGCATTTATTGGGGGGGAAAAAAAAAGGAGGGAGAAAACTGGAAATTACAGACTGGCTAGCCTAACATCGGTAGCAGGGAAAATGCTGGATGTGAAGGATGAAGGATGTGCTAACAAAACAGAGAAAATCACAGCAGGATTACACAATATCAGGATGGATTTAAGAAAGGGAAATCATGTTTGATAAATCTATTCAAGTTTGTTGATGATGTAACTAGTAGAATTAATGACAGAGAATCAGTGGACATGGTCTATTTAGATTTTCAGAAAGCTATAAATGAAGTCCCACAAGTGTGCAAAATCAAAACACATTGTATTGGTGATTTATACATTTGGAATAGATTAAAAATTAGTCAGCAGACAGGAAACGGAGACTAGTAATAAATAGGTCTTTTCAGAATGGAAGGCGGTGAGAAGTGGGAGTCAGTTCTTAGGCCCCAGCTGTTCATTGCATGTATCAATTTTTTTTTATTTATTTTGTGGGATGTGGGCATTGCTGGCTGGTCATTCGTAGTTGTCCTTGAGAAGGTGGTGGTGAGCTGCTTTCTTGAAACACTGCAATCCACCTGCTGTGGGTTGACCCACAATACCTTTAGGGAGGGAATTCCAGGATTTGGACCCAGCGACAGTCAAAGAATGGCAATATATTTCCAAGTCAGGATGGTGAGTGGCTTGAAGAGGAACTTGAAGATGATGGTGTTCCCATGTATCTGCTGCCCTTGTCCTTCTAGATGGAAGTAGTCATGAGTTTGGAAGGTTCTGTCTGAGGATTTTGGTGATTTGGATGAGGGAATCAAATGTAATACTTTCAAATTTGCAGAAGACTTCAGGGTAGGATTGTGAGTAGTGAGGAAGATGTAACAAGAACTTTCTGGACGATTTGGACCAATTGAGTGAGTGGACAAATGTGTGACAGATGCAGTACAACTTCAATAAGTGTGAAGTTGCCAACTTTGGTAGGAAAGAACTGAATGGCAGGGTATTTTTTTGGAAAAAACGAAAGGTAGAGTGTTTTTTAAATGGTGATAGATTGGAAAATGTTGATACACAAAGGGTCACAAAGGGACGTGGACATCCTTGTACACTGTTCACTGAAAGAAAGCTTGCAGGTGCAACATGAAGTTAGAAAGGCAAATGGTATGCTGACATTCATCGCCAGAAGGTTTGAGTACAGGAGCAGGGATATATAACTGCAACTGTACAGGGCCTTGGAGAGAGCACACTTGGAGTGTTGTGCCCAGTTTTGGTCTCTTTACCTGAGAAAAGATACATTTGCCATAGAGAGAGTGCAGCGAAGGTTCTGTAGGCTGCTTCCTGGGATGCTGGCTTTGTCATATGAGGAGAAATTACGTCAACAGGGCTGATATTCACTGCAGTTTAGAATAAGAGGGGATCTCACTATAAAACATATAAAATTCTGACAGGACTGGACAGACTGGATACAGCGAGATGTTTCCTCTGGCCATGGGCCATATCTACCTCTGCTCCCATTTTCCTTTGCATCTGTATTTTTAAGGCAGTACAGGTCATTCTGTGGCTATGATTAGCACATAAAGCAATTTCCACCCAGGCAGACTCAAGAGTTGATGTGGTCAGCTGTATCAAAAACTGCAGACAAGTCAAGTAGGATAGGAGGAGGAACAGAGGTTTCTTCTGTTACAGCCACTTAAGATATGACCAGTGTATGTAACCAATCTCTTCCTGATCTCCCAAGTTAACTCTTGTTAATCGGTGTGCATTATCTGCTCGTGCAGTTTTTGTTGAAAATTATAAAGTATTTCTTGACTCACTGTGGATTTTCTTCAGCATAAAATGATTTATTGAAATATATATTGTACAGCTGGCAAATATTCTTCAGTAGATCAAGAGCTGGTGCCTGGGGAAGACTGATTTCAACGTTGTGGGTGCATGGTGATATATGGGAGTGACTATAGTGATTTATAGGAGGAACAAGGAAGAAGAGGTTGGGGGAAAAAGATGACTATTTTAGAAAGAAGTCAGACAAAAGTTATAAATAACGATTGAGTTTTAAAACTGAAAGCAAGATTACCTATTAGTACAAACATTTTTATTGCATTCAGCCTACAAGAGATCTCAGAGGATTGTAAATATACTTCAATAAGATTCCTTTGAGCTAATACTTAACTGTGAATTTCCTTCTCTCTAGTGGTGTGTTTAATGATGGAAACTTCACTTACATTATTGAAGTTATGGGCAGTAAAACTGATCAGGTAAGCCCAGTTGATTATGTCAAATCTTCAGTACCTTTTTCCATCTGTCCAACACTGCGCTAGTAAAATACTTTCTTCGGAGATCTAGTCATTACAGGGGGCTAAAAGAATTTGTCTTTCAAATTACTTTCAGTCTCTCCTTGAAAGAGGAGATCTGAGATAGTGCAGTGAGGTGACCTGGAAAAATCTCTCTTTGGTGGCTGCATGACGTGTATTGTCCTTGGAAACTGTGTTGAGAAATGGCATGGCCATTCTGATATTACTGGTCTCTCTTCAGAGCCAATAGAGTAGGTTGACCTTGAGCCTCACAAGAATATGTCCCAATACATCTTCCTTGTCTGGCCTTTCTTCAGCATCTAACAGAAGAGCATCATTGGCTCCTGTGAGATTAGTTTTTTAAAAAAAAGGTAGCAAGAGATGAGGTCTGTGGACTATGCTGAGATGTCACTCAGCAACTTCAAGGAGAATGATCCTCACAGCAATTATATCTGTGTGTGTATGATCTGTGTGATCTGAAGATCTAATTCCTGTCTGAAGAAAGGAATTCATTACAAGTAAGTCTAGTGAGCAAAATTTCACTTGGAAATCTAGAACATCAAAATGAGTGACATATCACAAATGAAATGCATATGTCATCCAGTTGGGTGAAGATTGCAGGGTTGCCATCTACTGCAATACGTTACATTTGAGGAGGCATGCTCACCTATCTAGGGTTTCACAATTTGTGGAATTACCGCTCAGCATAGAAAGGTGTTCAGATGAGAGACCACTGGCTATACTGATCAGTTACACTGCTTGTCTCCCGACTTGGCTCTGCTTTCAGTAATGATTTGACCACATGGTTTGGCTTATTAAACACCTACCATCAAAAGACTGAACTGTCCCCAGTCAGTTTCAAATAATTCTGCATGCCCATTCCCAAATAGGCAGGCTGGTCCTGGCTGAATAAGCAATAGGAAACTTGCCTGAGCTTACAGATTTTGCAGTTTTAGATGGTTAACCTCCAGGAGAATATCCCTACACTGTTGAAGGTTTTATCCATTCCATGCCTGAGTTCCCCGAGGGTTAGAAATGTATCTAGAGATTTGAGTGTCTGTAATGCCTAAAAATACATCATGATATTTGAATCTCCAACAGTTTGTATATAAAAACCTTGCGTTGCTATTTGGAGACTTCGCTACCCTAGTTTCACAGGATTCTGAAAGCTCATACAGGTAAACGTTTTGAGTTGGATTTTCACCAACAAGTTGGGAAGTTTGAGTCAGGAAATTTCTCAGCTTGGCAGAACCATCTCCTATAATAGTGCTCCCATCTGCCATATTTCAGTTCAGGGAGGCAGAGTTGGGATGGAAGGAATTGATCTCGCTATTTCTGGAGGTGAGTGAGTGTCCAGGAAGGATTGTTAGAAGACCAGCCTCGATTCTCTGAGACTTTGGCCCAGTTATACTAAAAGCCCATTTGCCTGTGCCCCTCCCTCCCCCAAATTAACTCCTACCCATTTCCAATGGCCCCCCCCCCCCCCCCCAATATCCCTCCCTCATGTCATATCCACTGCCACTATAGGCAGACCTGAGAAATCCTATGGAGATGGGTGAAAAACTTCTAATAATCTCCAAGAGCTTTCACTCATACACAATTGGTAGTATAAAAAAAAAAGCCTTGTTCAAAAAATGAAATTCTCAATCAGTTCCAAAAATTAACAAAGATCTATTCATTTAGCACATCAAAACAACTAATCCTTTAATAACTTCTTAAATCCATTGCTCAAACTGTGAACTCGGTCCTCTCTCTACTGAAATAAGTGGTTTTGAAGTTTTTGAACCTCAGCCAAGCAATCATAATGAGCTCAGTTGTAATAACAGTTTTTGAGAAATGGCAACAATTAGGTTTGCTGAATTTGCAACAACAGATGCATAATGATTTTTTTTCTTCCTGAAGCTACAGCAAATGGCTTTTCAATCAATTCCCTTGGCAGTGGATAGTTTTTTTTAGTCGGAGTTGCAATTCATACTCATTTCTAAAGGGCTTGGGATTTAAGTCACTTCACATCATATGCTTAAACAAACCTAACTACCCATTATAAGCATTTACACTTCCTTCATAAGATCAAGGTCGCCATGGTGCGGGTTAAGGCCATTAGAGTGGCAAGACTTTTACTTGTTGGAGCTCTGCACTAATTTCAAATGGCCTTGCTGAGTCAAGGTTTCCCACCTGTGTGATCATGCCTTTCCTCTTGCCAACAAAACTGAGATTTATGAGAAATGGGTCAAGAATTCCATAACTGGATACCATTTGTTGTTTTTAAAGCACACTGGAGTTTGCCCAACATTGCAAAAATCTAGCCCTCACAGTCATAAACTAGTAGCACATAGGTTTCTGAGTTTATAAGGTTATGAGAAAGGGAACCTGAGGAAATCGTTTGGCCAATTGAACCACCTCCACCATGGAATAGTCACAGCTAGTTCTTGGCCTTACTTTCATTTCTATCCGCTTGCGCGCCATATTCCTGAAAGAAAGCAGTTTTAGCACAGATCAAAATAGTTAGCTCACAGGAGACTAGATCCTGTCCTATGAATTAAAATTGTGTCACTGCAGAGTAACAGTACTACCAGATGCTTTTTTAAGAACGCTCAGTTAAATGTTAGAAATCTAAATCTGCAGATCTATTTATAACTTTTTTTTTAAACTTTACAGTACTTAGTAATGCATCTTCCCATTTTATCATCACCAAGGTTCAACTTACTAACTGACACAAGACTCTCCAGAATGCAATATAAATAAATCAAGGCGTACGATGAACTATTGAAAACACAGTCACTTTAATGTCATAGCTTATATTTACTGCTGTGTTGACTTGGCAATGAACTGATGTAGTAATTAGCTTACTGCAGTGCAGACAGACAGGATTAGATTTTGTAAGAGTTATGACTGTCAGACTCTATGAAGATCTTTTAGGAAAATAGAATCATTGTTGAACGGTCAGGGAGAAAACGAAGAGCACATGTTAGTGATCTCTGAAAGGGCCATCTGTATTCATGACTCCGATATAACTGACAATGGCTGTGATACCTTACGCACTTAGAGGAGAAAGGGTGTGATTTCTGGCTTGCTGTAAATCACATGTAAATAGTGTGGAATAGGCCAGAAAATTCATTAAGCTTATTTTCTGCCAGACACACTCTGGGCTGAGAGCCCACTCCCCCTTCCCCATATTCTTGAGGAAGTGTATTTATAACCCCAATGCAATGCATGTAGGAGTTTCAGTTAGAATCATAGAAGCCCTACAGTGTGGAAACAGGCCCTTCGGCCCGACAAGTCCACACCGACCCTTAGAGCAGCCCGTACAGACCCATCCCCCTATAACCACCTAATCTACACATCCCTGAACACAATGGGCAATTTAGCATGGCCAATCCACCTAGCCTGCCCATTTTTGGACTGTGGGAGGAAACTGCAGCACCCGGAGGAAACCCACGCAGACACGGGGGCGGATTCTGGAGTTTGCACAGTCGCCTGAGGGTGGAATCGAACCCAGGTCCCTGGCACTGTGAGCAGTCCTAAATACTGAGCCACTGTGCCACCCCAAGTTTTATAAGAGAGCAGAAGGAAAAGCTTCATTCTATCAGTTATCTCGTAAGTGTGTTTTTTGCTGCTGTCTGACAAATGGACTCTGATGCATTCCAGATGTGGATGAAATTCATCAACTTTAACCTCTCAGCCATTGTGTTCACCATTTGCTCCTGAGTCCAAAAAACTCCTCACCTTGGCCAACTAACATTTTAAGCTGAAACAATATCAACCTATCCGTAATCTGTTGTAGGGATAGCAAGCACAGGAGCGATTGATATACACTTTTTCACAAATTCTACCACCCACTCCCTTCACCAGTCCTCGCCCCCAGACTCCCACTATCTAATCTGTCCATTTCAGTTATTCCAAGATCTCATCTTGGAATGCATGTCTCAAGGTTTCTATCACCAGTTGAGAAACTACTAATAAATCTCTAATATCCCATGGTTTGTGTGTGGAATGAACTTCCTGAGGAAGTGGTAGATGTCGGTACAGTTATAATGTTTAAAAGACATTTAGATAAGTACATGAATAGGAAAGGTTTAGAGGGATGTGGGCCAGGACCAGGCAGATGGGACTGGTTTAGTGTGGGATTACGTTTGGCATGGACTGGTTGGCCCAAAGGGTTTGTTTCTATGCTGTATGACTCTAAGACTGTATGAGGAGGAGACCTATACCTTTGTAACATCTAGCATGAATATTAGGCAGCCCAACTCAATAGAGTTATGGCTTTGTACCAAGCGCTCACTACTTTACTGGATATAGAAACTGACACTTTTACACACCATGCTTTCACAGATTTCAAAAGAGGCACACAGGATCCCAGAAATGTCCAATAATTAAACTATCTTTAATTGGCAAGAAGAAAAGGTCTTTATAGCTCCTGGATATCTCCCAGACCCTATCCATCCTTTTACCAATCTGGTGTGATGTTGAACACTCTGATGCCTTTGCCGTGGGTTAGCCCTGAATCAGACTTGATTATAACATCACTAGAACTGGTCTGCCTCTTTTGTTGGCCAGAATCTGTCCTATCCACAGCTGAGGCATTTGGCATGGAAACATTCCCTTCAGTCCAACCAGTCCATGCTGACCATATTTCTAAAGACAACTAGTCCCACCTGCCTGCATTTGGCCCATATGCCTGCAAACATTTTCTAGTTTTGAGCTACCCCACCGTAGGGAAAATACCCTTATCATTTACTTTATATATGCTTCTCAAGATTTTATAAACCTCAATAAGGTCACCCCTCAAAAAAGGCTGGGACTTTTTCTTATATTCTTTCTTTATATTCTTATAACTCAAACTCTCCGTTCCTGGCAACATCCTGGTAAATCCTCTCTGAACCCTCTCCAGTTTATTAATATCCTTTCTATAACAGGGAGACCAGAACTGCACACAGTGTTCTTGAAGAGGCCTCACCAACCAC